TAAAATTTGTGTTATTATGTCATGATTATTTTGTTACACCTGTTGAATGTACATGTACAATAGTTAGTTGGTATTCTTGATCTATGTTTTTAATATTCATTTTAAGAATCATGTTGGTTCTTATAATTATATACCATACTTCATAGAGGATACATTTCATGTTTTAAGTTCTTGTTTATCTGATCCCTATAATAAATGTTCATAACTTCATATCCTTCATATCTGAGTTGTATTATCCTTTCTGGAGTAACTTGGTCTAAAGCTGCATTTTAGCTACAAACTTGTACACAAGATATAAACTTGCACATCTGGCTAGCCTCGGCTGATTCCAGTTATCTTCATCTTCTGTTAAAGATAATTTTTACACTGGTCAGGGTCAACACGTCCTGGTTAGGCCGAGTGGTGACGAGCTGTGTTTTAAACTGTGTAGGTCTATATATGGTTTAAGTCTGCCTTCAATTTCTGTTTGAGTACGATTCAGTGTATAAATCAATAAAAAATAATAAAAAAACGTCAATGAAGTTGATTGCGCCTAAGACACTATGCAGACAGGTACATCTATCGGTGTTACATAAAGACGGGGATCAACCAGGAACAAAAACTACAGGTTTATATCCGTACATATACACCGGTTATGTCTTACCCGAGGCCTATGGCGTCGTAGAGTAATTCTTGAGAGGGGATACGAAAGTCAGTAGCTCAATATTGCTATATTAGCAGCTTCATGGACACTTCACAGAATCCAGATCAGCGCTGACATATCACATGTTATGTATATATATATATACATGCAATGTTTTTTACATGCTATGTGTGTATACAATGTTTTTGTGAGGGACTTGTATGTGCATAACCTCTGGGGCGTTTCGAATTTTGTGAAGTGAACAGACCGTATTCTGTGTATTACGGTATACGGTAAAGACATGCAAGTCTACTTCACACAATGGAAAGATGTGCTTAGTATCAAACTTAATACTGATGTGTATGTAAACACAACTTTGGCAAATGTTTACGAGAATCAACGAACCATGACAAAGTGTCTGGTCACAGATATTTACCCTTACATCCTTTAATTAACGACTGTTTTGTGAACAGCGTCGGTAAGTGTCTCCTAAACTTAACACTGTGACAGCAAATTATCCTCAATATGAAAATGAAATACAGAATAAGAACTGCAGTATAGTAGCTAGGCTTATTGACGAAACATCAATGGAAAAGGAAATTTTTAAAATATAATCGGTGTTTTTTGTGTGATAATTGGAGATTAAATAACTTCTCAGCTTGAAGAAAAGACATTTCTGTTTCTAAAGAAAATTCCTGGGTTTTTCTCTCGCTGAAAGTGTATTAAAATGGAACACTGCAATGTTCCAGACTTTCAGGCACAGTTTCCTACCAAGATACCTTGTCACCACCAGGCGGAAGAACTGCTGATGACGATTAATGACGAAATATGTAAATGTATGCAAGATTATACAGAATCGCGGAAACTTACTGAGGCGAAAACGGACACATTCGATCACTTCTTTACTCGCCTCGCTGTTGAGGCTATAGCAACGGGACGGCCATATTTCTCTGCCGCTTATGAATCAGTTGGAAGTCGGGGCGAAGGTTTGGGTTTTTTAGCGAACGATACGGACACATTAAGCACCATGACAACACTTTCGGCGTGCTTTCCTTCACCGGAAGTGGACCTTTTAGATAACATGTTTGTGATAGATACAGAAGGCTGTCACCCAGGATACTGCAAACTCCAGTTCCACCGAAAAAATGTAAGTGATTCATATACGATACCCCAACAATTTATAGCGAAGAGAAAAAGAGTTGTCTTTCTTTGCAATACTGCTTTGGTAACAATGTTCCATGAAGGAAACAGCAAGTTTAGTGCATGGCATTCACACGGGCCAGCCCTGACTAGTGACGAACTACAACAGGACTGGGTCATAGCTGTGAAATGTGTCAACCCCGGTCGTCTGCTACAAAATTACACTGAGAGGACAAGAACGTGGCCGGATAGAGCGACCGTGGAGAGGTTGACAAAGGTCCAATATGCTGTCGTAAGTGCCAGTCATCCGACTTGTAATGAAACTTCTTTGGAATTTCGTATTTCATTTGCATCTGCGGAGAAGCTTCTAATCAGAAGTTTGTCTGACGTTCAGTTTGCTGTTTATGCTTTCCTGAAGTATATAAAGAGGCGAATAGAGGAAGACATCTGCAGTTCTGACGATGTTCTGAGAACGTACTATGTGAAAATGGCACTGCTTTGGTGTTGTGAGAGGATGGAGCCTGCTGTTTGGACAGCCAAGAACTTCCTGCATTGTACCTCTGTGTGTCTGAAATTTCTTCAACAATGTTTCCATTCCAAAAATCTTCCACAACTATTCATGCCGGAAAACAATTTGATTGACCACTTAGTGCCAGACGAGTGTGACAGAATTGCAGCCGATATTGGCAGGTACATAGAACCCCTAAACCCAAGACTCTTTCTCAACTGCTTGTGCGACGAAACATTTGACGGAGCTTTTGACAGGTTACTCTCTCGTCCAAGGCGAGATTTGTCAGTTCAGATTCGGAAATTGTTCTTGAGATCTTCAACATCAAACATAGCTGTAGATAAGATATCGGCTGTGATGGAAACGGATACCATATCCTTCATCCTAGCAGAATTATCGGTGAAGGACGAACATGTGTTTTGCCCAGTGCTATATGAAACCATTCGCGACCTACACAATATCGTTTGTCCCGACATGGTCGATTGTATGAGGTCTCTACTGTACCGTTTCCTAGCAGATATAATACACAGACAGACTGGGTTCATCCGAAACAACATTCGTCAAGCAGAAGAGTTGTACCTTCGAGGTATAAGTCTAGTGTATCCAATTAGCAAATTTGACGACAAGGAATTTTCAGGCAGCATTCAATTGGCATTATTCTATTACCTCAACAAAGAATATGTGAAAGCGAAGACAGTTATGAGAAGAATAGAAACAATACTTTACAAAGTGGATCCCACGCGTAGCCTATCCATCATTCTTGTGTATGGTGACCTGCAGCGAATGTGGCACGACACTTTCCTTCAAGATATGGTGGGACGCTTTAGCGATCCAGACCTTGATACGTTGCCCATCAAATGCAATGCATTAGCCCTTTATATCTTTGCACGATGTATCAGCCATCTGTATGAGAGCAAGTACATGCAGTCACAAAGAGTGAGACTCAAAAAGCTGAAACGTTCAGTTCTAGTGAACCTCAAACATCTACCAGGATTAGATCCAGAGACACTCAAGTACACATCGATGGTTTTACAGCGTACAAAAACGATACTCCTGGAACTAATATCTCTGATAAGGTGACATTAAACTGTTTTACGCTCCCTCGCCAAACCAAATGTTTTAGGATTCGAGCCTCTCACATTGGATTCTTTATGAAGCATGTAAAATATTTAACTGTAATTCCTCTTGTGTAAATGATTTGGCAAATTCAAACCACGTGGTTCAATCGTGTTCCTTAAATTCATCGCTTTCTTTGATCTTTATTACATCAGAACCAACGGTGACAGTTAACGTCTAATCTGTATACGATAAGCGGTACGATTTCGTTTTCCGATCTTGAACTTTCCCTGTCTTGATAGTAATATCCCTGCTTCAGCAACCTACGATGTTTACATGGCATATAGTTGATTTGGTATTTAAGAGCCTGATTCAAATATCACGACTTCCGTGATAGATGTCGACTACTAACTTACAACAGAGGGTTTCCAGAGATGCAGGTTGACGAAGACTGTGGACAACTTTTACGGTCGCCGTCAGGACTCATTGGAAATATGCTATTTTTTGTGTGTGATATGACGTGGATATGTTTGGCTTATGTTTGTTAGTTGCCCATTTTTGTTGTCACTTGAGAATGTAGCATTGCCTGAATTTACATGGCGGATGTCGTTGATGAAGAAAACATTATTCTCCTGATACTTTTTTTCAATACTAATCGTGGGAATCCATCCTTTGGTCACATTTTACCATATTTTCATTGAAGTTGGTCATTAGATATTCTGTTGTTTTAATATAAATGATGTAAGTTACGATTTTTGAGATAACATTTATAACTCTTTTATTGTTTCAAATTTTTTAACTGTTGTCCCTTAATGTGGCATTTATATTACATTTGTATTTGAAAAGTGTAAGAAAGACGGAGAAGATACAAGGAAGGGCGTCATGTTTTATATATATAATGATTACAACTCATCCTTCAGGTAGCTACTCAGTATTGCCAACAGCGATAGGCTACATGTGGAGAGGCGACTGAAGGACATGGGTTGTGAGGTTTTTAAACTTATACACAAAGTGTCTCCCGAGTATATCCTTAACCTTGTAACTTAAATATATCAAACTATGAACGCAGGGAAACAAATACTGCGGAGGTGCCCAGGGTAAACACTGTGAAGTACGAACAGAAATGTTTTATGTTGAGCCCGCCCTTGTATGGAAAAGTCTCCCTAATGAATTCCGAAGAGTTGAAAATTTCAAGGAGTACAGGCGGCTGGCTGATTCACTCCTGGGATGGCCCCATCTGCCTTTGCAATCTCTGTACGGATTAGTGTTTCACGTGTTTGCACTGGTCATGAGTTTTTAAATTGTATCATGCTACTCTTATTCCATACTTTTTGTTTACGGTATCTATTTTACATTTTACAGAACACAATTAATTTACACCACTGCTATCAGTATCATCTTGTATATCTGTTTTAAACAGTTGTTACTTTCTCTTTCTCCTCAATATTTTTACAGAACTAATTGATACCATTGATGTCAATACCATGTTTAAGTTTAAACTACATTAGTGTCAATTTCTATTCTCTGATATATATTAGTATTGTATCTATGTTCCACTCTATAGTGATTTAACCGTACTCGTTAGTGATTGTGTGCTATATATTAGCATTGTATCTATGTTCCACTCTATAGTGATTTAACCTTACTCGTTAGTGATTGTGTGCTATATACTAGCATTGTATCCATGTTACACTCTATAGTGATTTAACCTTATTCGTTAGTGATTGTGTGCTATATACCAGCATTGTATCCATGTTACACTCTATAGTGATTCAACCTTACTCGTTAGTGGTTGTGTGCTATATACTAGCATTGTATCGATGTTCCACTCTATAGTGATTTAACCTTACTCGTTAGTGATTGTGTGCTATATACTAGCATTGTATCAATGTTACACTCTATAGTGATTTAACTTTACTCGTTAGTGATTGTGTGCTATATACTAGCAATGTATCTATGTTCCACTCTATAGTGATTTAACCTTACTCGTTAGTGATTGTGTGATATACAAGTGTTCACTTTCAAATTATGTCTTCTTGAGTATCCTTTTTTGAATATTATTTATCTTTGATAGCACTTCATGCCGCTTTGTTTTATTTTAATTTTAATTTCGTATCAACTCTGTTATGTCATGTCTTGGGGCCTCTTTAGTTAGGAGATTGCCGATCACTTAGAAACCTGAGATATGATACTTTTCCCTTTCACTGTGAAAGGACTTAATGCTACACTTGTATTTATGAATAAGCTATCTGTGATAACTCCTGTTTCATGTTATATTATAATGTTTTTATTGTTTTCCATAAATAGGTTTGTCGCAATAATAGTTGACAAGAGCCTTTATTTATACGACTCTAAATAAAGTTTCTAGTATCTTGTATATGCATTAGTATAAATATATGGGTCAAAAAAAGTAATATAGACGGTAAAATGCCATATAACACTGGATAAACTACACATCTTGATGTTTGTACGCAATCTGACACTGATTTTCGTTAAAATTTCCAGATCAATTTAGCTTTTAATTAATATACAAATCGTAGCTGTGTTTGCACACCGCATTTAGATTTGTCTATGGTGTATAAAGAATGTTTGGCAGAGGTCCGTATTTGTCTTCTAAACGAAGCTAAGCTTGACTCTCCTGGCTAGTACAACTCGTCGCATGAACAAATGTTCCTTTGGATTCGGGTACTCAGTAGGTTACTTCATAGTACAGGGCGGAGAAAGTACGTCACGTGCCATGGCATTAATATACCCGCTTTCAGGTAATTTTTAGGAATTGCAAACTTATACTATTTGATCGTTTCATTGTACTATTACTTCTCTTGTCCTTACTTTAAAACTCTGGAATCTTTTATCATATTTCTAGCGAAAATGTCACGTATCCTTTTGTGAAACGGACAGTCGTTGAGAATATCACAGAATTCTAGAGGCAAATGTTGGTTATGAAAAATGCGGAAGTCACAAACTTTTTGTTTGACTTATATACGTAATAATAATTATTATAATAATGTCTTACAAATTCTTGCCTTTTTGATATAAGGAAAATGTAAAAAAAATCAAACATAGGCAAGGTATTTTTTTTTTTACTTTTTTACTTTTTTTTTTTACTGGCTACATAAACCGATATTATATCACTGATATTTAATAATATGTTTATTCGTTTGTGAACTTGCATGAATGTCATTTTGTCATTTTGTAAATAATGTATTATTCATGTACTATCATTGTATCATGCTCTTCAATTTGGAGGAAATAAAGATGATATATAGAATTTTGAGGCAAATGTTGGTTATGAAAAATGCGAAAGTCACAAACTTTTTAGCGCAAGCGATATTTGCATTTGTCACTTTCTAAGAACTTGACGCATACAATTCCTAAATCTCTTTTTCTTCATGCGTATATTTTTGCCGCTTTTTTGGTCATGTCGTTTGCCAATATTCCGGCATATGCCGTTCGTTCTTCAGCCCGAGATATTCTAATGACATAGAAATTGAGAACAGGGTTATAAGCCTGCTTCCTAACCTACAGAGTAGATCTAAAAACTATGCCTGTTGCAGTGTATAACAGAATCTATCAGTAGTTTTTATGTTTAAGCACGAGGTTTCGCTTTCCAGAGTGATACGGATCTATATTAGCGCATGTGAGCGGTCTTTTACCTAGTTTTTTTCTTCTCCATAAGACCGAGATATCCACACTTTTGGTCAGGGAAAGACTTATCTGCCTTACCCTAGGGTAAAGAGGAGGAAATTCCCAGTCATATCAATTGTATAACATCATGTCAACAATCCATTGACGTCAAGTCAACAATAGTAATGCAATCAAAAAAGCAATCACCACTTGTAGGACTATTTGAGATTAGAAAACAAGAGGCACATGGGCCTAAACGGTCACCTGAGTCCTACAGTATCTATTTTAGTTGTTGAAATATGTACCAATTTCAGTACAAAATAGTTAAGTATAACGTTAACTTAAGTTTGTCAGGACCATGAGCTGATCATTCCTAGACCGAGTTTCAGTTAAATCGGCCTATTAGAACTGGTTTTTAAGTTTGAAATAGTTTCTCAAAATGGCGGCCGTGGCGGCCATATTGGATATCTGATCGACCCGGAAAATAACTACACTTGGTCAGGGAGATGTCAGTAACCTTCCCATGAAATATTAATGAAATCCCTTTGCCAGTATTTCAGCTTAAGTTGAAAATGTAAAATGTTAACGGACGACGGACGACAAGGGACGAAGACGGATAGCAATAGGTCACTTGAGCTAAAGCTCAGGTGACCTAAAAATAATTATTCACCAATTTGAGTAAATTCTCCGTCCTCGGGGAAATACTCTAAATAACTGGTCCTTGGCTAAGCCTTGGGTTAGAAGCTAAAGAATCTTACTCTTTAGAAGAACAGCGATAGAAAATGCATGTTTCACCCTAATACTGTTTCCGTAGATTGGCCTAGCTGTCACTTTGTTTACATGGAGCGTCCCTGGCGAGTGTTATTGTGTGCTGTGACAAAGTCGCTGGTACACAATGTATATACCTGGTAGGACTGTCACTTTGTTTACATGGAGTGTCCCTGGTGGTTGTTATTGTGTGCTGTGACAAAGTCGGTGATACACAATGTATATACCTGGTAGGACTGTCACTGCGCATGCTCCATCCATATAATATACAACAAGAACAACAATATTTTTTATACTTAAGTATTTATTTCTACACTTGTCATATCTTGTTGAACAATGCAACAGATATGTCTAAACGTAAACATCTATACTAGTAAATATATACAGAAGTATATTTACATGTGTATCTAGATCTGTACATATATATATATATAGAAATTAATATGCTCTTAAGAAATCTAAAACATAATAATGATATCACAGGTTGGTAAGAAAAATAAGTATACATTAATACATGTATATTAGTACAACTTTAGTCAATGTGCTCAAATATAATCAATTTGTGTAGATCATATGTCAGAATACTTGCAATAATTTCCTATATTTAGACAAAATAGATCTTCGGGGAAAATCTTAGCATTGCAAACTCAAACTGAACTAAGTTCAGAGTCGTATTGTAAACAATTTCTTACTTTAAATTAACGGGTGAAACAATAAGCAGATGTTGCCATTGGTTTCATGTTTATTTTTGTAACCTTACATTATGCGAATTAAATTGCAGCAGATTTCGTTTTTATATTTTGAGTTCAGTAACATTAAGGTAGAAATAGCTACTGGCAAAGCCTGGTAATATAATGAAGTACTAACAGCAGTATAGAGTTCACTGGACACTGGACGGTTTAAGATGATAACGAGATATTTATAACACATGCTGCATAAATCATCGGTTTGCTGCCTATGAAGCACTTAAGTAATATTTTGATATTAATAAAAAAAAAGTATGTTTTTTTTGTTACATTTTTCTTCTAACTCTTTAGTCAATTTCCCACCCAATTTTTCAAGGAAAGTCAGGGTTTTAGTATCAATATCAAACCTCCCCCAATCACATATAAATTATTAAGAGTATTACATTTACAAATTTTCCCTTATTTGTACTTTGCATTCTGGAAATTGACTGGAAAAAGGTTCCAGATTTATTTTTTGAAATCACAACTTGCACAGGAGGAACCACAAAGTATATCCAAACAAGAGTACCGTGGGGCGGAACAACATACGCCCGTCAAATGTCATATAGTGTTATATACTTTCTTACATTGAAATAAGATCTGCATCATTCTTAGAGTGGTTAGCTGACAATCCGAATTCTTTTAAGGGAGACACAACTTCATATCATGATTATAATGTATACCAAGTTTCAAAGAGATCAGTTGAAAAATGTAGGAGGAGATTGTCGGACAAAAATCATATACCGAAATAAACAAAGGGCAATAACTTTTGGAAAAATCGTTGAATAAAAATTCTTTTAAGGGAGACACAACTTCATATCATGATTATGATGTATAATAAGTTTCAAAAAGATCGGTCGGAAAATGTAAGAGGAGATTGCCGGACAAAAATCATATACCGAAATGAACAAAGGGCAATAACGTTTGGAAAAATTGTCGAATCAAAATTCTTTTCAGGGAGACACAACTTCATATCATGATTACGATGTATACCAAGTTTAAAAGAGATTGGTCGAAAAATGTAGGAGGAGATTGCCGGACAAATAAAAGTTTATGCCGGACGGACGGACAGACAACCCCATACCATAATACTCCCGTCAAATTTGACCGGCGTATAAAAATAAAGATTTGGGAAGTAAAACATGAAACAGCAACTGTGTACTTTTAAATGACAACACAATGACCACATTTGTATTGACCCATGGTATGTAAAAGTTTTATATTAACAATGTTGTAACATGTAAGGTTCCTCCCATAGAAAATAAACGTAACTACTATGTGGTTCATTTTAATGGCCATTACTATATGCAAAAATTAATTGTGAAAAATATCATGGCTCTTAATAATGTACCAATTAATGGGTGACTTAATGGACAGTGTATATTAACGACCATTACAGTAATTGACATTAAAGAAAGAGAGAGAGATTTTAATGCCCATTATTGAGAAAAAAATAATGCCAATTAAATATCACGAGTGATTTTTAATAGCCATTACAGGGTTTTTATCATAATGGCCTTTAACACCAGATATTGTATACCATTATTATACCATTATTTTATGATGGCCATTAATAATTATGAATTAAAAATAATGGAATTTGACAATTAATGTTACCCATTAATCGGTACATTATTAATGGGTATAAAACTAATGGGGTTTTAATGGGAACATTTGCCAGTAGTGGTCCTCATCAGTAAGGTTCCTCCCATAGAAAGTAAACATAGCTACATCCTCAGTAAGGTTCCTCCTTCTCTTGGGTAGTATTATGTAGGCCTTTTATCAGTAAGCTGAAACAGAAAAAAACCCATAAAACAATAATCCTTAATTATTATACCACTGAATTCATTTTAAACTTTGCTTACCACCAATAAATTTGAAGATGCAAAGCCAAACCTTTAATGCCAAATTGTCGCTAAACAAAAGGTGGCACTATAACAAGGTTTAACTGTGAAAGGTATTAATTCAGCAAACACTAGACATGGATCAGTTATCATCAAAACAGTTCATAACCTAGAACAGTTCAATTTTGAAATAGAGGAAGATAATTTACACTGAAACTAATTTGTCCATTAACAAATTTATCAAAGGAGTCTAAAATAAGACTCTCTGAAATATATATAAATAACTTTTATCCATTTTACAAATCCTTTTAAAACATGACCTTGGTATGTCCTTTATTTGTACATATATTTACAAATCTCTCACCTTTAGGCTTCCCTCTATCCACAGATTTTTCTGAAACAAGTAAACAATAAACTATAAGTAAGAAGGTTATTCCTTAATGTTGCACTTATTGAGTCTTTTATAAAACAAATGACATTGCATTGTACGTACTACACAATTAAATGGTTGCCTAATCAAATGAACTAAAATCTTACATGCTGATGTGATCTTTAATCTTTTCACTGTCAGTCAAATGACATGATGGATGAGCTTTGATCGTACCTCATGTTGACTAGTCAAACGGTGTTTGACCCTCCATAATACTGTTGACTTCTCCAATTACCTTTGACACTTCAAAATAGTGTTGACAAGTCTAACGCCTTACCTGTGGTTGACCAGTCCAGTATGCTAGCATCCGATTCATATTTGGGTAGAGCCCAGCCTCCTCGGTCAGATTTAATGGACCCACCGCCTATAACACTGTCCTGACCAGCGTCCTTCTGCAAGTAGGCACAAGGGAAGTTTAACAGAATGACAATTGACAAGATCAAGCTAAGGTTGAGTGTTTAACACTGTCCTGACCTGATGGAGACGTGTATTGAGGTCCAGTGTTTAACACTGTCCTGACCCTATGGTAGGTGTATAACCAGCCTTCTGTACAGGATCTAGCTAAGGTATGTGTTTAACACTGTCCTGACCCTATGGTAGGTGTATAACCAGCCTTCTGTACAGGATCAAGCTAAGGTTCAGTGTTTAACACTGTCCTGACCCTATGGTAGGTGTATAACCAGCCTTCTGTACAGGATCAAG